AAGATCAGGGCCCGGAAAGACTCCATCCATGTATAAATGCTGCCATCATCCGGGAAGACCTGCGACAAAACTGCACGTGGCGCTTTACCTTTACGTGTGTGTACATATGGGAACAGCAAATGCGCATATACATGTCAATACAGGTGTATGTATATGTACACAGTACACATCCACACGGTCAAACCGTCGTTGACAGCATGTGACTTCCATCCGTTTCTAAATTCCACTTGCAGGTTTGCAGGCGGGATTCAACTGCCAAGGCGTTGCGTTTCTCCGTGCCTGCTACAAACGGACAAACTCCTTCGACCCAAAGTCCATGCTCTCGGCTGTCTGCAAGCCTACTTACTCTGCCAGTCTCTTTTGGCCCGGGCTTTGACTGACCCTGGTAGGAACGTATGAGCACGGTTCAATGCGACATGGTGAGACAGTAAGTCTCTGGGGCTGTGCCGGCACGTGGGACATTGAGCCACATGCTACGACAGAGCCTTGTCCCTTACCACCGGCCACTACTTTGCTCGACAACTGTAGCAGTGTGCGGCCGGTATGCCCTTGGCATGCCTTGTTTCAGGAGCCACGTCTGATTGGACTTTGGCCAAAAAAGTTGGAGTGGCAAGGAGCGGGCAGGCTACTTTCACAAGGAAAGAGCTCGGCCTCCATCAGGTTCGCACGCTGCTCACCAAGGGTTCTGGATTCCTCCCCGAGGAGGCGATTGCCATCAGCCGCAGACACCACGTGCTTGGTAACCTCTGTGTCCTCGCCCAAGAGTACCAGGGACTCGCTGCCGCTGGCACTGGACCCAGCTTTCGCAGAGCCCTTGATGAAAAGGGGCAGTGCAGGGACGAACAGGTCAGAAGAGCCCGCAGGAGTGGTGGACCTGTCTGGGTGAATCCTGTGAAGTCGCTCCAAGTACTTGCTGACTTTGCAGATCCATGTCAGGTAGCTCCGACCAAAATTGACGGCTTCCTGAACCTCTGGGTTACGCCGAGGCGTCCGACACTTGGGCGACAGGCGATCGATCTTAAACGCGGGAGTTACCTGAGGGGAGCCCAAGAGCTGCTTTGCCAGGAAGCTGATCTTCACCTCTTCGCAAGTGGAAACCTCCCAGGAAGTCAGGAAGAACACTACTTTCTTGCACTGCCCTTGCATTTCGGGGGGCAGAGGGGCGAGGAGGATGCCCTTTTCGTAGCTGTGCGACCTTGGTCTCCGGATGTGGTGAGGACTTGGTGCTCGTCTTGAGTTCGACGTGGCCACTTCGGCTGCAAATCAAGAGCCGGTCGGAATCGTCCGCACCAACACCACGGATGGCCTCCAGCTCATAGGCCATGTCGAACTTCCAGAAGAACTCGGTCCTGGTCCGGCTAAGTGTGCCTTCTAACCAGCTCAATTTGAATGCTTGATGTGGCCTGCCGCTGCGGAGCTAAGGGTGAGGCACTTTCGTGACGGTCTTGCTGGTGAACGAGCCTCAACAATGATTTGTGGCCGCTGTCCCCTAACTTGCCATACCCCACCCCCTCAACTGCAAGCACAAAAAAAGGAGAGACGATGCTTCTCGACTTGGCCCTAGGGCCAAAGGCAACGCCACCGACCTGAACCTCGTTGACGCGCTTCGTGGGCGACTCCTCATCGCGCGTAACTTCGCGCAGAAACTGGCAGGTCTCCTTCGGCAGGATCTGCAACAAGTTCAGGGCTTAGTCAGACAGAGAGACAGACAGAGAGAGAGAGAGAGAGAGAGAGAGAGAGAGAGGGAGAGAGGGAAGAGCAGGGGAGGAGAGACGGGAAGGAAGGATGGGAAGGAGCGAGCTGACACTTCAGTCCAGCAGGCTGTTTCATGTAAAAGCCCTGGCAGTGCTGTACGCACAATCTTCATGCTTCTCGTGTTGGCCTTGTCGTTCTACCTTGATCTTAGTGTGGCAAGGGACATGCCTTTTGGGCCGTCCGGCTCCTTGGACTTGAAACGCAAGGACACCGCGTTGGCTGCCGCCCAGGTCTGCAGCTGGGCCAGCTTCTCCCCACCTGAAGTGAACTTGAAGGAGTGAAGCTGAATTCTCTCTGTCTCTATCTTTAATTCTTTCGGGCTCAGGGGTCGGTTCTCTCTCCTACCGGGTGCAATTACACCAAAAACAAACAAGCAAACGTAAATATGCCCTGCAGATCTTTATATGCATATAAATATACAGAAAAATCTATGTGTCTGCATGATGAATAGACGTACGTACACATGTAGTTACATACACACATAGACAAACGAAGTTGTGGTAAGGGTTTGGGCTCATCCTGCAAAGCTCGTCCTGTTTGGTTCACACCCCGGGAATTGATGGCCTAGGCACGGAGGATTATGCCTCTGGGGCAATGACATCCGGAGACTCAGCCAAGGACAGGTGACGAGAGCGATGAATATGACACAGGTACGCTAGTATACATCCTTCATGCTAGACTACCACATGGTCACCCTAAACTACTAGTGCCAGACTACCGCCATACCAAGCACCACGCTGGAGCAATCTATGGAAAACACCGCTCACACTGCGTGACGCCTCCAAATCCAAACAAACAGCGAGACCCAAGAACTAATCAGTTTGTTTCGGTCCCTTCGTGAAATAAGCTTGTACATGTATGTGTGCGTATGGATGTAGATGTATGTGTGTGTAGGCATGTGAATGTACGGGATGTATGTTTAAGTAAGTGTAAGTACGTGTCTCAGTGCATGTATGCCGTGGATCAGTATGCATGCGCGTCTGACTTTCTATCTGTGGAAGTATGTGTATGACTTTGTAAATACCATGTATATGCATATGTATACACACATATCTTGCAGTAGGTATGTATGCCTGTATGTACAAAGGTGATGCCATGTACTGTGCTGCATATATGTATATGCACACGCATAATCATGCTCGCTATGTATTTATGCTTCTGAGCACGTGTACGTGTATCTGTATGTATGTACATATGCATGTATGCGTCGCAATGAGTCTAGAGTGTCGGCGTGCAGGGGCGCTCATCCACTCGGTCCGACTCGTTACATTCGCTCCGACCGTTCCACTCGTTCCACACGTGCCACTCGCCCCTGTATGTTAATTACCTGTTTCACTCATTCCTTTCGTCTATAGAGCGAGTGGCGCGGACGACTTCAATTCCTCGCCCCCCTCCCTTGCGCGGTGTGCCTTACCTGTTCCACTCGTTCCTGTTGCCTAGCTGTAGCACCAGTGGCGCGAGCGAGCGAGTGGTGCGAGTCGCGCAGACGACTTTAATCTTCCCCCTGCGTCCGCAATTATGTATGTATGTACGTATGCAAGTAGGTGTTGATGTAGGTGTTGGTGCAATGCCATGTGCTTTACTGTACTGCAATGCGTGTATTCGTGTGTATACGAATGTATGTATGCATGCAAGCATGCATGCATTTATTCTTGTAGTGCGATGTAATGTACCGAAATGAATGCATGCATGTATACATGTACGTGTACATTCTTGCATGTGTGTCTGTGTGATGTTTGTACGCATGTAAGCAAGTGTGTATGTATGCATGCATGTATGTGCGAATGCGTGTGTATGTGTGCGCATTTTTGACTCGTGCATTGTGAGTTTTGCTGAGTGAACCACACATGTGTATGGTTGTGTGCCTGCATGCATGCATGGAACCATCGGATGTATTCATGTATGTAATGTCTGCAAGATGTGTAAGTAAATGTCATGTATGTGATTACCTTTGGAAGTAGGTATGTATGTATCTACATACATATGAATGACCTGGACGACCTGAGACGTTTTCTTGCCGACCCGGACCCGGACCGACTGCCGTTCCACTGCAAGTCCAGCAAAGACAAGTCCTGCCGAAGTGCTTCGTGAAACAGCTCATCCTCATCCAAGGCGCCAAGGCCAAGTTGTTCCAGGCTGTTTGCAAGCGAAGCCAAGGCCAAACAGCTTCCCCGCTCCAATAAGCTGAACTTGTCCTGCAGCCAGCACTCGCTACTGCCGCCCGTTCTGTGGAGGGTCGCTTGGCTCAGGGAACCACGGAATTGCTGTAGCATCTGCACGAGTACCGCTGTACACTTCGAACTTACCTGGTCTCATGACCTTTTGTTGGCCCCTGTGTGCAGCCTCCCGTTCGACAGGTCCTCGTAGCTGTGGTGCACATCTACCGGAAGCTGCGGCTTCTTCCTTTGCTGAGTGCAAACAGGCGATTGCTCGCAACCTCAAAGCCGGAATCCCGAACTCGCCTCGAAGGTGGGAATCTCACGTTGCAGCTTGGTCTCTCGGTCTCCAGGACTAGCTTTACACGCTCAATCGCCTGCTGCAGCCGGGCTGAAGACGGAAATGTGATTGTCCCGTCCAGCAAACGAGACGGCTTAGTTGAGGACAGTGGCGAATTTCAACTTCGGTAAGCCTTACGTCAAGGATGTTTGGTCTTCTTTCTCTTCAAATCTTGAGGTCATGCTTGCCGCAGTTTTCAGAACTGGATTGGCTTGTGGATATCATGTCATGTGGGAATTGCCAGTATGACTACAGGGAGTCGCTCGGCAAAAAGACTAAGACGTCACTAGGGGAGATGTGCGAGGGGACCAACGGCTTGGCTTTTGACGAAACCGCTGCACGATCCCATGCATCCACACTACATATACATACACATATCACACCTATACGAAACAAAATGCGTTCGTGGGCAAACTTAACAACATGCATGCGTTGGCTGACGCCCCGTCAGTCGCACTGTATTGAGTACAGTCACGTCACAGAGACAAGCCGATCCGTCTTCATGCATGCTGACTCTGCCTTCTTCAGCTTCAGCTCGAATTGTCTCATCTGCGTTTCTGCGCTCATCTTCTGGAGATGACTTTACTGGAGAGGCCGCCTCTGCGTCTCTGTGCCTGCTACCTTACCTTAATTGGCTTGGGCCGTCGTGCAGAAAAACGGGACCGTGGGAGCACTTGCAAGCTGCCACGAGCTTCTATTCTTCTAGAACTCTGGCCATCCTGCTATGCTTGGAGCGCTTCCCACCAAACCTTGCAGCCGCTCGTCATACGACCTGATGGCGGCGGGTCATTTCTTGCGTGCTAGAATTGGAATCTAGGCCGGACGATCAGCCAAGATCCGCCGCCACTCTCATGTAAGGTCCGCGCTGCAAGACCTGAAGATCAGACGAAAGCCTGATCAGGGCAAGCGATTCGGCTGCGACCTGGTCAGCCGAGTTGGCACAGCTCAGCTCGCGACACCAGGTAACCGTCGCACATCGCGGCCAACACCTGAGCCATCGATGCCGGTCACAGGCGAGGACGCAGCACATCATCCGCAAGCGCAGCAACTTGCGGTCAATTGAACTCGTGTTCTGTCTAGGGTCCTTGCTGCTCGGTCTAGGGTCCCCTGCTGCTGTTGAGGCTTCCGCATGGGACTCGGCGAACCGCGCCTCCGAACTATTCGAGCGAGCAGCGGCTGCTCGCAAACAACAGAGGCCCTGGGACAAGAGCCCCCGGAGCACTTTCAAGGGATCAAGACCACTAGGATCTATCGGGTCAAGAGCCTCGAGGGATCCTTTTGATGTGACCTAAACGCGTGAGGCATCCACGTGAAACTTAAACATGAGGATCTCGGATGTGCTCGTTTGGAGGTGGACATGGAGTCCTAGGTCCGGAAGCCATTCTTATTAGTTGTTTGGCAACAAGCCATCCAACATCCAGGCCAACCCAAGCAGAGCTACAAATCTGCTAGATTAGCTTCCTCTGCGAGAATGTCAGCATCGAAGCTAAGAAAATGATGTCAGGCCATGAGGATGTAGCCCTCACAAGGCTGATCATCTGATCGGATCACCTTTGCTTCTGCACCCTGCGGGTAGTTGAACAACTTTTCCACGATCCTGCTACACAGACTCCCGACCTCATACTAAAGCAAAGGTAAAGCGAAGCATTCCGCCCCCAACTCAGGTCATCAAAGGCCGGATAGGGCACGAGAGTCAGACCAAAGCCCTTCGGTGAGATCCCAGTTTGTCCACTTCCTTACAGCTTCGTGGAAGGCAATCTTGTATGCACGCAGTAATCCGCATGACCAAGTCTTCTAGCAGGCTGCATGTACAAGCGATTTCTGCCACGTATCACTTCCTCTGGCTTCGGGAAACCTCTCCCTTGCCGTGTCATCGTCGGCACAGCCAGTGAACCATCGCCTTCTACGGCCCAGATTATGATGGACAGTCGTACGCCATCCTTCTCGTTCGAAGGAGGGATGGAATGCGTGAACAAGTCGTTGAAGAACGTGTCGAAGGCAAACACGTCACCTGAAAGCACTCACTTCCGCGGGAGTGGAAAGGCATCCATGCACAGGATTGCTTTTGTTATCCAATTCGCACTCTGTCGGTTTAAATCCACCGGACACAGGCAAGCTCCCGCTCCAAGACCTCAAGCCTCTCAGGTCAGGCAGTTTCCTACACATCGAAAGCAAGCCACCGTTCTTTTGCTTGATCCGGAACGTCTCACCGGTGAACCTGTAAGCGCAGGCGAAATCAGCACCAAGCTAGGTCTGGATGCATGATGCATGCTCTCTCTTCGTGTCACCAGCATGCTGCACGCCAGGACTGGCATGCTTGCATCATACTGCATCATGCTCACAAGTACTGCCACACACTCATGCAAGCTGCTTCCCTCCCCTGCCTATCTTTGAAGCTAATCCTTGGTTGCAGCCAGATTGGTGCCATCACACCACAGCCGCGGCCCCACGGCGCCACAAACGCTTCTTCTGCCGGGCGTCGGCCGCGCCACGCCGAGGCTGAGGCCGATAGTGGCGCTGGGCCGAGGCCTCCGGTCCTCTGAAGGCGAGCCAGAAAGAGCGAAAAATTCTTCTTTCCAGTGTTCTTTGAGAGAGAAAGGAGAGATCAGAGGGAAGAACGAGGGCTCTCCTTGTAGTTGTCTTGGTGCGGCGCTTTTTGCTCCTCGCCATTCCTCGGCAAACCGGCCCAGGGCCTCTCCTCCCCAAGCCGACTCCAAGATGTAGAAGGATGTGGGAGTTTCCGGAGAGAAGGGGACCCTAATGTAGCCCTAAATATTAGGATCCTTCTTATACTGTAAGGACCTCAAAATATCTCAAAATAAGGTCCCCATGATTCTCGGAAACTCCCATGTAAGACAGCAGAGCAGCTTTCTTCAGCCAGGGGGCCGGTAGACATTCACCCAGCAGTCCACCATGGACAAGCCGAACAAAGAGACGAGCCGAGCTACCACCGCCGTGAAGGTCTTGGAGAAAGCCAGGTGCTCGCCCCACATCCTTATCTCGGACAGTCTGCCTCGGGGCTGAGACCTCAAGACCGTGCCATCATGAGGGATTGGGAAGCGGGAGTGAACGAAAAACAGTGGCGTGGCTGCGTGCATCTCCGTCACTGCATGTGCCGCCTGCTTCTGTGCAGTTTCAAGTGGCTGCTAGCCTTCCTGAGTTGGACGGGAGTGGAACGAAGAAGCGCAGTGAACGGCTAAACGGATGAAAACTTGCCATAACCATTGAACTAGAATCACAGAAAAAGCAAACCGCCAAACATGCTTTATTTCTATATCGCTGATCAGTTTCTCGATGTCTTCCAGCAGAGCATTTACTAGATTGGCATCGTCGCTGGATGAGCCTAGCGCTGGCACGTGAACGCAGTGCCCGGAACGAACCAGCTTTGCCGGCAGCGGCTTCATCTTCCTTACTCGCGGCAGCGTCGCACATCGTGGCACCCGATCCTATGCTCGAACGGTGCGGAACTTCAGAGCTGAGCTGCGGAAACGCGGGCATTTTGACGGCAGCCTGCAGCGGCGACCTTTCCACGGCCGACTCGATCAGTGAAGACCGGACCCTTCGAGATGTCGCATCCACGCCCTCGCCCTCGTCATGGCCTGCGGGAGCGATGCCAAAAAGGAGGTGCCCGGGCTGAGCGTCGCGGGGGGTGGCCGGGTGTCCCAAAAGAACCTACTGCTTCTCTGCTTCTGGGCCTTTCCCGCCACGACGTGTGAAGAGGGCATGCGCAGCAACACCCCAATCGGTAAAGTGTTTCGTTTCTTGGCAGTCTGTCGATTGGAGCTAACGAAAACATCAACACACTCGCAGCTTCACCCAGCTGCCCAGCGTCATTGCAACAGTCTACAAAGCATGCAAACACTCGATTTGTCCACACGAGACATCATAGTCGATGCAATCACTGCTTCCCTGCAAGGCCTCCGGCAAGTCGAATTTTCCTTGGACTGCAGCGCACTCTGACATGGCCTTGAGGCCTTCGCCTTTCAGCCAGGACTCGGCTTGAAAGAGCCGCTGAAGCATCGAGCTTGCAGGGCGAGGGCGTCCCACTTCCTTGCCATGCCTGCCCGGCGAGCATCCTCTTCGACCCATCTGCTGAACACACCACTCTCGATCTGTTACGTATTCTGCATAATAGCAGAAGCAGGGTCAGAGCCTGACTGCAGCGTCGGCCACATGCTAAGCGACAGCAGCACGCCCACCGTCACCCAGGCTCTCTGCGCTGCCCCGCGCATGGCGCCGTCAAGGCGTCTATAGATACTAGAATCTAGAATGCAACCTTGAATCGCTAGACGCTGTGCGTGGGGTTCGGCTCAGAGCTGCGACGGATTACGATCGTTGCTTGCAAGCTATTTCTGATCCTTGGATTCTCTTGAACGTATTTGACTCGGAGACTGCCTCCTAAATCTCGGCATTAATTAATTATGGCATACCTTGAGAGACATGCAGATCGCCAAATGCAGTGCAATCAACGACGCTGCCATCCGATGATCTGTAGGTCCCTATTCAACCACGGCTTGCATCCCCAGTTGCTCTGAGCGTCTTGCCCTGCGTAAGCTGGCCAAGCTGGTCACCTAGGTTGGCTCTTCATTCCAACACCAGTTGCTCGAAGTCCCCGCCGGGATTTACCCTGAGTGCCTCACGAGGAAACTCCAAGCCTGAGTTTCTTCAATGCGGGCGGTGATGAAGTCTCGAGTGGCAGAACATGGGATCTTCTTGCCAGGTCGCGAGTGTGCCGAAAAAGGCAAAAATCAGTGCGAGAGCTAACCTTGACTCAGGTGCTGAGCTGACTGAGACGACTGGCGAGTCCCAAGAACTGTTACTTCAAGGTTCACACTCGCCAGCAACCGACGAGGCGACGAACTCGTCCGCGGGTGACCTGCTTTGAGGTGTGTCTTACTCACAGCGTCTTTGACAGGTGCTGGTGTGTTGCCATTCCGGCCTGTAGAACTGCAAAGCTGCACGAGCCAAGCTATGCCTGATGAACGGTAAAAGCTGCACGAGTCACCACCGTGCAGCAAAAAGGGATACATGCTGGAGGTTGAGCGTGAGACCCAACAGCTGCAGCACCTCAACGAGCTTGGTTCAACTTGTGTCCTTTTCTGTTTGCACACAGGCCTATTCTTCAACTTTTGCCCGGCCCGGCAAAATCTGCTTTGCCCAGGATTTCGTCCATTGTCGCGCAGAAAATACCAAAATCATCCTAACTTACAAGCATTCGCAGCCAGGCCCAATCATTGCTAATCATTCATTGCTTGCTGACATACGACTCGTCTGAGGCACCGAAACCAAGAGAACCCAGTACGGGTGCCAGCGATCCACGTATGCCTCCTCGTTGGCGTTGGAGTATGTTGGAGTCGGGCAGGATACTGCTACGTCCGGAAATAGGTTCATTCTGTTGCTAGCCCCAGGCTGTCCTGCTTGCTCCAAGCCCAGGTAGATCAAAGAGAGCCAGACCTCGAGGGAATGCTCGAGACAAGGTCCAAAGGCTTGGCAGCAAGGCCGAGAACCAGTGAGAACTTGCTCCGCCGTGTCTCCATCACCCCGGCTGATCGTACGGAAGCCTGGGAACCACAACTGCCACCGCGCACATCCGCGAGCATCAGCAACATCGACTTTGAGCTGCCGGCTACCAGCAGGATGCAGAACGCACCCTGCGACAGAGCGACGCAAAGTGATGTCGAACCAACTTGCACCCCTCGCCCCCCCCGGCCTGGCAAATCCAGGATGTGCTCGTGCCCGCAGGGGCCGCTCCTTCTGCGATAGCTCTCAAAATCATCGGAGCAGCTCTCATCACAAAGGCCTGCGCTGCTTGAAAGAGAAGGCCAGGAGAGCCTTGGGAAAGCCAGAACGGACGGAGCTCTCCGCGGGGTTACTGCAGGGAAGGGCAATCCATGGCTACTGAAGAGTTTTCACTCATTTCTGTACTTGGCAGACCATCCGTTTCGAATGCGGAGGGCCTGCAAAGCTGTAAGCCCTGTAAGCTTAAACAATGCACTTAAACGATGATGCCTTGTGGAGCAGTCCCGAAGTATCCCGGAGCCCTCGATGGGGACTAACACCTCAATTACTAAGCTCAGCAGTGTCTCAGCTGTATGGCCATCCGACATTCAGATTCAAGACTGCTCCACCACTATGACTATGAAGCAACGCAGCTGCGGGCTGTGCCACTGTGGGCACAGGAGCTGCGCTACCTACCAAAACATCCGATGTTGTCGACGCTCAAGTGTTGGATTCACCTGGCTGGCCAAAACTTTCCGCTTACCAGCCCTCAATGTGTAAGCAAACGGTGAGCAGGCGAAGTGTATGAAGAGCTTGTGTTTCTGGTGTTTCGATCAACGCTTGCGCAAGTGCCCCATCATCAAGGACCATGGCAAACCCATGCTTCGCCCACGGAGCCGCCAACGAACCAATCGCATGTGGTCGTCTTGTGGCCCTACCGAAAGGTTGCACATGCCAGGCCACTTGGTTGAGTCGGGCATTGCGGCTGCCTGGTCAAGTTTGCAGAATGAGAAAATGGACGCGAGAGAGACGCAGAGAGAGAGAGACAGAGAGAGAGAGAGAGAGAGAACAAGAAGCACATCTCCAGTTCCAGATCGAAAGCCCCATCCCACACTAAAACGTCTACAGGTAGTTTGTACGCACATAGAGATGCACTCCGAGGCCTTCAAAAAACGCTATTATTGAATTTTTCAGAATGGCAGCGGATTCTGTAATCTAAGTGTGTCTCGAAGGGCGTTCCGCGAGACCACTTAGTTGTCAATCCAGGCCTTCGCAAGCGAGCCCCATGACTTCGGCACGGTCTGATCCTTCGGAATACCTGCAGCAGGATTCTCGCGTAAGTCTTCTTGCGATGTCCATATCACATCCGGTGTCTCTGAACAAGGCCGAGCGACGCATGACAATGGTAGGCTTCGACTTCTTGATGCCGCGAACCTGAACCTCGAAGCCCAAAGACCTCGAACATGCAGTATAGTGTCACACTCAGAAAGGTACTTCTATGAAGAGACGAAGAGACGTCAGAGGCGAGACTCATCGAAACTCCATGTACATCATAGTTCTACTATAAAATGGCTGCAAACCCTTCTAGCGTCTTCTGTTACACTTCGCTGAAGCAACTAACTAGTCCAGACAAAGGCGCGGGTTGTCCACCAGCAGCGGCGCACTCTTGCTTGCAGATCTTGCACCTTCCTGGCCACATGGAAGATCGCATTCTCGCATGTTCGTCGTGAGATCACTTGAAAGCGCCTTCGTTGCCTCGGTCTTATCTTGGTTGGCATCCGCTATCTCCTGGGACATCTCGCCCATCAGGGAGTACAGCCCCACCTTGCAAACCATCATGCATCAAAAGGCACGGTGTCCAACATGCCCATGATGTGTGTGTGTGTGTGTATGGTTAGTCCCCTTTGAGTCCGAGCACACTTACCACGACTGCAGTTGTCGATCCTTTACCATCCGTCAAGCACAACACCATGGCAAGCTGAGGCAGGTACAGCCTTGCCTGTCTCCTGGCCCAGCGAGGGAGGGCAGGGTGACGCATGCAAGCCCCCCGGCTCTACCACCACTTGAACTGCAAGTCGCATCATGGCCCCTTCACGAGAATGAAGGCAAGTGACTGATGCCGAGAATGCTGACGAATATGACAAAATTGACCGAGGCAATGGGCACCCAACCATATGCGATGAGATGTGTTTATCAGCAACTCCGACTCCGCGCCACCCCTGCATTAATCTGATCGACTCATCGACTGCAGAGCAGCCACAACACTATTTTTTCTGGATTTTCTCAACCATCGACAACTTTAACCTTGCCATCCTCGTGAATGCAGCTAGATATGTCATAAGCCTTGCAGGTTCATCGGGGCTGCGCACAGTGGGAAACAAACCTGCTGCACCCTAACCTGCTGCAGCCACTGCTCACTGCAGTGATCGGTCAACGGTGCTCTGAATCGGGCCACGAGCACAGGTCTTTTTTTTAAGGATTCTAGTTGCTAGTAAGGGGTCTGCAGTGGGGCATGGGGGTCCCCTGTATTCCGACCACTGCGGATGGCGCCTGAAGCGCCGCTTCCAGGGATTGGTCCTTCAGGAAGGCCCCGCGCGAATCGGAGAGTACCTCAATGGGAAACTGGACACTGCCAACTCTATCCTGGCGCTGCCAGGATGGCAGCAAAGCCATCGTAACATGTCGGTTCATGCTCTCTACTCATCTACTCTCTGTCTTCCCCTGACATTTCGCGAACTTGTATGAGCACAGTGCATTCCTGGCCAGAGCAAACTTCAGAATCCTGTCTTTACTCGCCCTGTCGCCTGAGGCCGCGGCCTTCTCGGTGATGTCCATTCCGATGTGGTCCTGGCTAGATTCGCTAGATGACCTCTGTGCGAAATTTCCGAAGGTGTCTGTGCAGTCGGTCCTCTCCATTTGGAACTGGTGCCTCGTTGGGGACCACATCAGGGCCCATCTTCTTCACCTGAGGAGGTTCTACTTGCAACCTTGGTATCTGTGCGTCTGAGCCCGCTGACTCAACACTTGCTAGATCCAATCTCCGTCCCCGTTCCTGTCATTGAAGACGCTGGTGTGCTGGCCATGATTTTTCTTCGCAGAAGGTCGGCGAGCCGTTCCAGCTGCGAATGCAACGCTCGAAACCGAATACCCAACCTACATGCATCTACACGCAGGGACACTGGGTTCGAAATGAATTTCGCCAGCTCATTGTCTGGCGCTACCGTACAATATGACTCCTTCGAAGTTTGGATGCTCGGTGGCTAACTTGCCAGTGGCCTATCATATACTCACTGTCCTGCTATTTGGCTGAGGCAGGCATGGGCTCCATCCGCGGAAGGAGTTGCCAGCTCATTGGCAACGGCTGCCTCTGAGGGACTCTGAGGACCTCGTTGTTGCAAAGGCAGTCAGAACATCAAAACTCTGGATATCGACAATTGTAATCAAATACCAATAGCGATGGCCAAGGTAATCACATTAATTTCACCGGTTCTTGCCACACGAAAACCAGGTGCTGACGGAATGACAGGCAAGTTGCGATGCAGGGTGGAGTGCGTTTGACACCTCGGATTTGAATTTCGTAGGCCATTGGTAGGTCTGGTCTGAGGAACGGCTCATCTTCGTCAGACTCCGAAAATCCCGTCTCCTCGTCAGTATCAAAGTGCTCCATACCCTTCTTCTGTGCGTCGATGGCTGCTTGTATCTGGCCACCAATGTCCCCGAAGAGCTTGTAGAGGCCTACACCACAAACAGCATCATGCACCGCGGCACAATTGATCGTTTGACAGGCTACTCCTATCTGCTACTGGATACACTGGCTAACTGGCTCTCACTTTCTCTGCTGCATAGCCACGCAAACGTTGAGGGTTGAGAGCCCGCCTAGTGCCATATCCTGCATGATGCCCTCCGCGAAGGAGACTCGTGAAAGGAAAGCAGCTCGCGGATCCGACAGAACCATGGCGCTGATGTCTATGGCTGTGTCATCCGGCGAGTCCGTTGCCGGCATGTGATTCGGGGACACGCCGAGGTGCTCCACGTCAGACTCGTAATCTTCCATGGAAAGCAAGACTCTGGGCTCATTCATGTCCATCTTGTAGGAACCAGACGGGATGAAAAGCGTGTCAGCAGATGGGAGGACTGCCAGCATACGTGACAGGTCCATATGCCAGAAGAACACGTCCTCAACAGACTTTGGCTTCTACGAACGCCCAAAGCCAACTGACGTAAACAGAACGTGAACCCATGCTTCAAGCTAGTCCTCGTCAGAAAGCTCATGGAAGTCCATGGCCCGGAAGTTTTCGTAGTTGTCTGGCTTCAACAGCAGGAGCTTCCTTTGCATCGTTTATACGAGGGCCACTGCCCGCAGATTTCTCGACGAACGAATCATGTTGCTTAGCCAGGGCACAGGGGCGGGTATTTGCACCCGGTCGCCACCAGACTAGCCGGGAGGTACGTTGCCGCTTGCACAATCACTTCGGTGTAGTCGGGCACACCGGCCTGTAGACAGGTCGAAGCTTTGTCTTTAGGCCCAGGACTCCCAAAACATCACAAGCGTAGGAGCATGCATGTGCCTGCACCGCATGCGTGAAGTTGAGCTCGCTGCCGGTGGCTTCACGCAAGCCTTGCATCACAGGGCCCTGCGCGGCCACTCGTTTCTTGATCTCAGACTTCCAGTCTATAGAATCCCAGCGAGACCTCGGCTCTCTTTGCGGGGGCACAGCTGAACTTTTTACAGGGACGAGTACAGGAGTCCCTCAGGGCTGTTCTCTGCCACCTCCTCCCGACGAGCAATCAAAGTGCAATTGAGCAAAGTATCATCAGGATCAAGGTCCATAGTGCATGCGCGAAGAAGATGCGGAATGCTTCTAAGGCGAACAGGGAAAGGAAGGCAATGTCCACCCAGCTGTAAGGCCCAACACCGGGCTGTAACCACACACTCAGGGCATTGAAGTACATTTGCGTGGCCCCAAACTCACCGACTGCGAACTCTGCCCGCCACTTCAGGGCAGACAGAGTGTTCCTATTTCGGGTTTTGCTCTTGCCCAAGAAAGGTGCCGCAAAAACCAAGAGAACCGCGCACAGGGCTCGCATCGCCGCAAGCACCAGGCGCGAGTTTTGGAGACAAGCATCAGCATCCCAGGACTGCTGAATGCCATCGCTCTCGACTATCTCCATGACAGCGATGGGCAGTTCGATCACCACTGCTGGACCCAAGAAGCTAAAGAAGCCAAGCATGTGAAGAGTTACCCAATTCATCTGGTAAAGCAGTTCGATACTGGAGACTGCTTTCCCCTCGCGGATGGCAACATTGCCTCCTGATGCCCCACTCACAACAG